GAATTTTGAACCCCACTTTGCTTGGAAAGAATGAATGAAAATTGAACATGTGACTTTAAATACAAAAAATGTATTCAACTTAAACTTGATAATGTATAAAAAGTAAGCAAGCCAGTTTAAATACAAAATTTTTATCAAATTTAAAATTAATCAATAATAAGTAAAGTAACCATCTTTATATATATAAATTATAAATATTTCTGATTATAATTTGATATGGGATTTTTTCCCCTCAACAAAAACAAATTCCCAATGTCAATTTATGGAGAATGGCACTAAGCCAAATGGTGAAAAAGGTGATAAACGGAAAGTTGTGAGTGGCGACTCCAATATATATAGTATACAATATGCCACCTTTGTTGAGGAGACAATGCTCATGATTTATTCTTCAGGTGGCCGCCTCATTATTTGCTTGCAAACATTTTAAAAAGCAAAAGGAACTTAAAACATTTAAAATTAATTACACACACCTCATCTTGTTGATTAGCCACAAAGATTCATTTCTTTGAGAAGTTAAGAAAAGTTAATTCCTTACAAATCTACTAATTTCAATATGATGCTTTAAACTATTTCAGATAAATAGATTTAATTGGATGTTAATAAGGTTATAGTTGATTGAAACAACATGATAAATAAATGAAAATGAAAAGATGAGAGGTACAAAACGGGGCTGAAGATGGTATCTTTTGTCACAACCCATAACATTATAAAGGACATTGATTATAAGAGCAAGACATTTGGATGCAAACTATTTATTTTGAGGTTTCTTTATCATTTTTCAAGGTGGGACAAGAACAAAAGGGAAGACAGAATTGCTATCCTAAATTATTTATTTTAAGAAGTATTGTCAAGACTCTGTCTCCTAATTTGGCTTTAAGAGAATATATGCTTATTCACATAACAAAGGGAAGCCACAGATATTTTATATTGATTTTTTTTTTTTGGCCAAATTATATATTGAAAGATTGAGCCTGCAGGAAAAAGCATAAGATCCAACACAATGATCTTTGCCACCTGGTCACAACCATTTACCTTTATATAACCTGAAAATAAGTAAATGATATGTGAACAATTTTTTTTTAAAATTTATATAATTTTTATATTTTATTAAATAAATAATGCATACAAATACAATATCACAAGTTTTTGTAAGATAAAAAAAAAATTAATAATTAAATAATATGTAATATTATATAAAAAAATTATCACCCAATTATTTTTTATCTGAAAATAGTGTAGCCTCACATAAACAGGAAATGTTGATAGGATCATTATTACCACTTGATGGATACTACAATCTTAGGCTTAGGTCATGATTAATCCAACAATATTGCGCCACACTAAAGTGTATATACGAGCTAAGTGTATGAAAGAACACAATACACCATAAACTCGTTACAATTATAAATGAGAGAGCTAATGGTGAGTCGAGAGATGAGATACATACTTGCATTTTATTATGCAACTTAAATTAGGAAAAAAAAAAAAGTTATTAGAACAATGTGAAGGCACCAGTTGGTGTAGGACCAAAATCAATACATCAATTTAAGAGTGGAGGGCCACAATTCGTATCATGTACATCAGATTGGAAAGGGTTCCAAATCTGAACCGAGCTTAACCTATCAAAAAATGGGAGAGGAGAGTTTGATGACCGAGTCCTACATCAAGAAGAACAGAAGAAGTAAGATTGTGAGTGACAGACAGTGTCACAGGAGTTATATAGTTTTTTTTTTTATTGAACAAGGGTAATCGGAGAAAAAGAGATAGAGAAGCTGTTAGTGCAGCGATTAAAACTCTAACATTTGTCAAGAGTTTAGTGTACCTGAACCAAAGCAACCAAAGCTGCAAGTGCTCACAAGAGTTATATAGTTGGGTTTTGATCTTCGGAACAAAGATCTGGGCGTTTTAGAAAGAGAAAAAAATAGTTAAAGAGAAAAATCAGTTCTTTTTTTATTTTTTTGTGGGATAGAAGAGAAAAACTAGTAGTTACAAGGCCAGTTGAAATCTTTCACCCAAAAAAAGGCCAATTGGAAAATTGTTTTTTTTTTTTTTTTAAAACTTATTAATTTTTTGTAGTACTTTTTCAAAAAAATTTTTTAATATGTTTGACCTTTGTTTGTCCAAATAGAGCCTCAATGTTGTTGTTTGTGCTTTGCTATATGGATTATAATAAAGGGACTATATTTTTATATAGTACTTTCTCAAAAATTTTTTTTAGTAAAGTTGGCCTTTGTTTGTCCAAGTAGAGCCCAATGTTATTGTTTGTGCCCTATATTTGCTTCTTCTTTTTTAAATTTTTTAAAATTTTCTTTATTTTTTATTTAGTATATTCATGAATTTAATTGCAATAAAAATTGTTTTAACTTTGCTTATTTACCATAAGTCTAGAGATTTTCTTGCCTTTAACCCTAATTTTTTTCCAAAATTCCTTTGTTTTATGAAGGAAACGACTGAATTTTGCATGAAGAAAATGTACCTTTTATGCCCCTTTAGAAACCAAACACATTTGATGTTTCTCAATAATCAGGACATGCAATACTGCACCAAAGTTTGTGTGCTCAGAAGGAATAAAATGTACGCTAGGGAACTCTGTAGATCTCAATGAAATGTAGGCTTAGAATAGGTATCATATATAATAAAGAAAAGTAGAGCACTTGTAGGCACCAATGAACTGTAGATCTCATTATATGTTAACAAATCCATTCTCTTAATCTTCTTTCTAGCAGTGCTTTACACATAATCTAGATCTTAAATTAAGCTAACCTTTATTGAGTAGCTTTCATCAGCTATAATGACATCCCCCAAAAGCACTGCATCCCTTCAGAATTCCTTCATTTTCTATCAAAACAAACACAATGTAAAAGAGAAAAAGCCCACCTTCACCACCTTTCACCGAAAAGTGGTAGCACTCTAACACATTCTTGTCTTAAAATTTAGCACAATATATACTCTTATTAAAACATTGATTATTTTCAAAGTTATCTCTACTACTTTAATTTTGCATGAGTTCATGTGACTTTTACCTTAACTTTTCTCTTTCTTTTTACATAGGGAGTGGGGATAGAGGGGTAGCGTGGTTGTCTTAAGGAATCTGTCAGCAGCATAGGAAAGGAGACTGTACTAGATTTGGATAGTGAAGCAAAAGGAGATATATCCTTTATTAAAAACTGTTGGGTTTCTTGCAGAATTATCATAGGGTACACTGAGGCTGAAATCTGAGTTTTCCAGGATTTTGAAGAGATGGGTGTCGTCACTGTTGCTGAATTGAAGCCAAGTATGTCAGGGAAGAGATCTTTTCGACCAAACTCCAGCATAAGGCATGCCACTGAATGGTAACTTCTCTTCTGCCCATCAATTGTTTGATAAAATTCCTACAACACAAGTTCTTAAGTTCTCAACTAGCTTATTGTGTTGATTTTAATGTCAAGTAGTGGCAGCATTTCAATAACCATGGAAAAAGAGATAATATCATTGAAATTAGACTAAAGCAGGGAACCAGAGAATAGAAGTTTATTCTGAATTTTTAATCCTTTGAGAACTGCAAAACACAGAATTATATGAGAAATTTGTTCTTTTTTCTTTATCTAGTATATTTTTCTAGCTTCCATCTTCATTCTGACAATTGTAGAACTCAGGTAATGCGTTCATAGTTATATAAGTTTTGCTTTCTTTTGCTTTTAACTAACTTCGAATTCTCCCTTTGTATTAGGTATACCCTTGTTTAGTTTCAAAAATTAATTTTGGAAACCAAAAAACAAAGGGAGAATTCCATTACTCAGTAGCTTTCCTCAAAAGATCAACATCAGCCCATTTTGATAGATTCCTCAGCATTTTCACGTTGTCTAGCTTCACATTGTCTAACTTCTTCCCCTCGTTACTTGGGGCCCCTCTCTGAATGAAGGCTAGACAGCTACCTTTCCAATTCAGTAATTAGGCACATGAATGTGACAGATCAAACCCTACTCCTGAGCTGGTGTGATCTTAGCTTCATAAGTCTTCATTCGAAGTTACACCTACACTAAATCCAAAAAGGCTGGGGTTGTTGATGTATTCAATAACTTTTGTTTTTTACCATCTTGAGGCCCTCCAAGATGTACGACGAATTCTTACAACACCAGTTCATTGACTAGGAAAAACCCTCCTTGCTTCTTCACCCAGAAACTAACAAAAGACATTCACAGCGATTCAAGGAAAATCAAGGGGACCCGTATGGGAGCCTAATATTCCACCATATCTTAACAAATCAGGTGCAGCTATTTTTGTTGAGTTTTTACCTTGACAGATATGAATGATCACCTTATGGCTTGTTTCTTGGCTGCCCTGCTTCTTAAGCAATCCTGTCATCTTCTAAATATTGTCAGTTTTCTCTTCGGGCCCCTTAGCGTAAAGCCAAAGAGACAAGATGGGGTTTTGTCAGTAAATTTGAGGTGAACAGGGGATAGAAAATGCACAAACATTCACTGAACCATTTAAGACTTGAGAGAGTTTATGAGAATGCAGGTTTATAGCAGAAAAACAATATGATGTCTAGACTATTGGCACCAACAAACATGTATAACTGCGTTCTTTTTCAATTTCTTTTTCTTTGAAAATTTTTATTCTCTATAGTATATCTCCTAAACAAGTTTTCTACCTTGCAGGCCGATTTCTGATGTTTCTAGTGATGTTACATTTGAAGTTGGAGGATCAAGCTTTGCACTTCACAAGGTACGAACGAATTGTTTTAGCATAATCCTTCGTTAACTTGTTCTTTCTTGCATTGAATAATTAAGTATCTCTGAAACTCTAGTCATATCATATATTCATATGGCTGTGCAATTCTTCTACAGTTTCCTTTAGTTTCTCGGAGTGGAAAAATTCGGAAGCTGTTGGTTGATGTCAAAGATTCAAAAATTCCTCGCATAACTCTACCTTCTTTCCCTGGTGGACCGGAGGCATTTGAGCTTGCTGCAAAGTTTTGTTATGGGATACATATCGAGATTACACTATCAAATGTTGCTATGTTAAGATGTGCAGCTTATTTTCTGGAAATGACAGAAGAGTTTACAGAGAAAAACCTGGAAAATCGAACTGAGGCTTATCTGAAGGACATAGTGCTCCAAAATATCTCAAACTCAATATCTGTTCTTCACCGGTGTGAGAGCCTTCTACCCATCTCCGAAGACATCAGTCTGGTTAACAGGCTCATCAGTGCAATTGCAAGTAATGCATGCAAAGAGCAGCTGACCTCTGGTTTGTTGAAGCTTGACCACAATTTCTCCGGAAAATCCATGTCAAACATGGTGCCAGAAACACCATCAGATTGGTGGGGAAAGTCCCTCGCTGTGCTTAATCTTGATTTTTTCCAAAGAGTTCTGTCTGCTGTGAAGTCAAAGGGTTTAAAACAGGATATGATCAGCAAAATTCTGATAAACTATGCACACAATTCTCTTCAAGGCATTGTTGTGAGAGCTCCTCACCTGGTTAAAGGAAGTCTCCTGGATTTGGAGCTGCAGAAGAAGCAAAGAGTCATCACTGAAGCGATCGTCAGCTTACTTCCGACTCAATCAAGGAAGAGTCCGGTGCCAATGGCGTTTCTTTCAAGTTTGCTGAAAGCCACAATAGCGTCTTCTGCATCCACTTCTTGCAGAACCGATCTGGAGAGGCGGATCGGCCTGCAACTGGACCAGGCGATTCTCGAAGACATCCTGATTCCGGTAAATTCACCGGCAAATAGCCATTCGACGATGTACGATGCGGACTCGATCCTGAGGATCTTCTCCATATTTCTGAACCTGGATGAGGACGATGATGATGATAATCCTTTGAGAGACGAAAGCGAAATGGTGTATGATTTCGACAGTCCTGGATCTCCCAAACAGAGTTCAATTATCAAAGTATCGAAGTTATTGGATAATTACCTGGCAGAAGTGGCCCTCGATTCGAATTTGTTACCGTCGAAGTTTATCGCACTCGCAGAATTGCTCCCCGATCATGCTCGAATCATTAGCGATGGATTATACAGGGCCGTAGATATCTTCCTCAAAGTGAGAATCCGACTTCTCTGTCTCTGAATCTCGGATCAATTCTTCTTCTTCATCCGTAGTAACACAATTTTGTTCGTTCAATTATTTACAGGTTCATCCAAATATCAAGGATTCCGAACGGTACCGGCTGTGCAAAACGATCGACTGTCAGAAACTATCACAAGAAGCGTGCAGCCACGCGGCACAGAACGAGCGGTTACCGGTACAGATGGCGGTCCAGGTATTGTACTTCGAGCAAATCCGGCTACGGAATGCAATGAGCGGCGGCGGCCACAACCAGTTCTTCTTCGGCGCGATCAACAGCCACTTTCCTCAACGGTCCAGCAGCGGCGCCGGAAGTGGAGCCATCTCGCCGAGGGACAATTATGCGTCGGTGAGGAGAGAGAACCGGGAGCTGAAGCTGGAAGTGGCGCGAATGAGGATGAGACTAACGGATCTGGAGAAGGACCACGTCTCAATGAAACAGGAGCTGGTGCGGTCCCATCCCGCCAACAAGCTATTCAAATCGTTCGCCAAGAAGCTGAGCAAACTGAACGCCCTGTTCAGGATCAACAACAATCTCAAACCCATCGGCGGCAAGGCAAATTCAGATTCCCGATTCCCCTTCCAGAAACGGCGGCGACACTCAATGTCCTGAAGATGATTGAGGATCATGTAAAGGGGGAAGAGTGTGATTTGTATAGTAATATGTAGTGTGATTAATGAATTTTCATAGATTAATTCTTGGGTGTTGTTTTTCCTTCTAGTTTGTTTTTGTGTTCTTGGAGAGATCACTGCCTTACATTTTTATTAGAGAGGAAGGCACAACTCTGAAATTTGGTGTCTTGATGCTGTCTGTGTCTTCTTCTACATGAGTGAAGATTTTGTAAAATATTTCCAAATAAAAACCTTCTAAACATGACAATTTCCTGTTGTTTGGGTATTCATTTGATTTGTTATAATCCACCCGTGAAGGTAATGAGCCCATGATATTGAATGGAATCATAAGTGTCATTCTCTTACTACCCACAAATAGGTTTGACTTGCAACAAGTTGAAATCAATTTAATTCAAGTTTGTTTGGACTATGAATCTGGATTATTAAATGTAATAGTATATTTAGGTTAAAACCTCAAGTTGGTCCTTAAACCATTGTACGGACCCCAATTTGGTTCTTGAACTAAAAAAATCCTTAATTTGGTTTTTGAACTATTGTACAAACCCTCGATTTGGTCCCTACTATTTACTAATTTAACCTCAAGTTAGTCATTCCGTACAAAAAATAGTTGATGTATTTGTTACTTAACGACAAAAAATAATAATTTAACAACAAAAATAGCAACTTAACAATCACATGTCACATTAATAATGAAACACGTAAGCTATTTTTTGTGTGGAAGGACCAACTTGGGGTAAATTGGTAAATAATAGGAACCAAATTAGGGATCTGTACAATGGTTTAGGGATCAGATCGGGGATCCGTACAATAATTTAAGGACCAAATCAAAGATTCATATAATAGTTCAAGAATCAAATTGGAGATTTTACCGTATATTTAATACCATATCGAAACTTCATTTAACAATACTTTATTTATTGAACTTGGTTTATGGGGTGGGTAGAAAAAGTACTACTTACCACATATTTGGTTAAGATTTGAGGTTGTTGGCCTTTTTATCCTTCTTTTATCTTTAAAAATTGTAATTATTCAAAAAATATTTTAATTACTGTTTGTTTTTATATCTTTTTATTATTTTAAAAATATATAAAAATATTAATTAAAATAAATATTAAATGTCTAAAATATATTTCTATATTTTTAAGATATTAAAAATAAGGTTAAACCCCGATTTTGGTCCCTCAACTATTGTACGGACCTCGACTTAGTCTCTCAGCTCAAAAAATCCCTGATTTGGTCTTACTATTTACCATTTTGACCCCAATTTAGTTCCTCCATTAAAAATCCAATGACAAGTCTCGTTAATTAATAGAGGCATGATGACATGTCAAAAATAAAGTGACACCTCAAACGCACACCTGAAAACAAAGATGGCATGGCAGTATGATATTTCATTTTGACCTAGAACCAAACAAAAAAAAGTGGGCCCCACTTCATGCAAAGCTTGAACCCTTCTTTCCCTTTCTTCCCATTCGAACCTAGAACAATAGAGCTCTCCCAGTTCCTCAGCAAGCATCCACAGGAAAAAAAAAAGAAGAGAATTTTCTTTTCCCAGTTCCCAGTTCCCAGTTCTTCATCTTGCCTTGCCTTCTTCATCAATCAATTTTTCATCATCATCAAACAACAAAATCCACAGAAAAAAAAAAGAGAATTTTTATTTATTTTTTATTTTTTGCTCTTGGGTTTGTTCGAACCCAAGTGTGCTGGGTTCCAAGGAACCCAGGTGTCTTGGATTTGAACAAACCCAACGCCTGGGCTCCATCGAACCCACACGTCCTCTTGGGTTTAAATGAACCTAGGCCTTGGGTTTGAACGAACCCATGCCCTGGGTTCCATTGAACCCACGTCTTGGGTTCCTTGGAACCCAGGCGTCCTCTTACGTTTAAATGAACCCAACGTCTGGGTTCCATCGAACCTAATGCCTGGGTTCAAGAGAACCCGTGCCTAGGTTTGAAGGAACCCAATAGGCGTTGGGTTCCAAGGGGAAAAGAAAAGGAATGAGAAGAAAAAAAAAAAGAATTTTTAAAGTTTTTTTTGACATATTATTATTTTTTTCCAAGTCATCACTTTTTGTCATGTTGTCATTTTTTTTTTTTTAGGTGAGCATCTAATGTGTCACGTTATTTTGACACGTCATCATGCTCCAGTTAATTAATAGGACATGTCATTGAATTTTTAACAGAGGAACTAAATTGGGGTTAAAATGGTAAACAGTAGGGATCAAATCAAGGATTTTTTGAGTTGAGGGACTAAGTCTGGGGTCCGAACGATAGTTGAGGGACCAAAATGGGGGTTTAACCTAAAAATAAAAAAAGTTACAACTACAACTACAAATGAACATTATTAAACTAAGTCTAAATTTTATGTTTTCAAATCAAATTACAATTGTGTGGTTTGAACACTAAAATTATTAAAATATTAATAAAATAAAAAATAAATTTATTAATTAAATTACTTATTTATTGTGCAGACATAGAGTAAAGGTGCAAAAAAAAATATGAACTTTACAATTTTTTCTATTTAAGATGTTAATTTTGTTATTTCTAAATAAGGATGTCAACTTTCAACATTTTTTACTTAAGGATGTCAACTTATAACTTTTTCTATTTAAGGATGTTAACTTTAAACTTTTTCTATTTAAGGATTAATTAGATAATGATGCCAATGTGGCAAATGGATTTTTTAACCGACTTGTTGAAAGTTAGCATTCTTAAATAGAAAAAGTTGAAAGCTGACATCCTTAAATAGAAAATGTTGAAAATTGATATCCTTATATAAAAATTGATAAAGTTAACATCCTTAAATAAAAAAAATTGTAAAGTTCATATCCTTTTTTGCACCTTTACCTTGTAGACATAACTTAACATGATC